TTTTAACGGAGCAGAGCGAGCTGACAGGCAGAGTTAGAGACTTTTTCTGTCCGTTTCTCTCTTTACAAAGACGCATGTTGCAGTCAGAGTGTTCTCTGAAGAGGGCAATGAAGTCTAAGTAGTACCCGATGCGAGCACCACATACAACACAATTTATCAAATTACACAACGGATATACAGTATGAAAATAAGACTGATTGGATTATACTCACAGGAAGTATCAAACCTGTTACATGCGTAACACAGTAATGTCAGGGAAATTACTTTACTTAGAATTAAGTACTGCAGTTGTACATTTGAAATACCTTCCTAACTTTCTGATAGGAAGCCTTCTTGAGGTGGTATAAAACATTTCTTCTTATATTCTGATTTGAGTTGTGGACAACTATGACCACATGAATTAAAAAAATTAAACATTTCACTGCCCAAGTCAGCTATAACACAAGTCTTGTTCATCAGACTACATGCTGTGGACAGATTTTGTCCCAGGATTTATTATGCATTTCTTCTTCTTCGTTGCATGATTTAGAATAATAAGGTGAGAAATGGGTCTATTCTGATTCATCCTGCACTGCAGCAGCTAATAAAGTCCATTTAATCCCAAAAACGCTTTTCTTTTAGGCAGGCTGGAGCAGAAAACAACTCACCTTTCTCAAGTTGTACAGTAATGTCACATGTGTATGAAGGTGGATCAAACCAGCTAATCTTAAATGTCAAAGTAGAGAGGAGCCTAGTAGGCCTATTTATTTTCATTCATTACACAATATGAATAAGCTATGCAGACAGTTGTAAAGAAAGAACATCTTTTTCTTCTGTTCTCTACTTGTTATAGTTACACAGTATTAGGGGTGTGGGCTGTATTAAAAGTATCCACTGTTCTCCCATGCTCTAACACACAGTAACGATGAAATGTGTGCTGTTCTCACATTCTTCCTCTGTATGTACACATAAACAACAAGGCAGGGAAATATAAAAGGAATTTATTTTATTGTTTGGGTACATTATTGTTCAGTGTACATGCTCACATCTGAAACAAACTTTACGTGCTTGATAACTCTCCCACCCCGCAGACATCTACACGCCAATACCGATTTATATTCATAGCGGCAAGTGCTATGTAGCTCCACATAGGGGACACAGGAAGTGACATATAACACCTTCATGCGGCGTCGGAACCGCGTAGCAAATTCACAGCCGCACCGGCAGAGCTCCAGAATATGCAACTCGGCCGGCTCACACGCGGACGCGCTTATAAGTGCGAGGGCCCGCCCAACGCTGCTTGCAGCTTTAATTGTGGTTGTATTTTTCTGACACTTGCCAGACACAAAGTGTCATGGTTTGGGGTTTTCAGGTATTATTTGGAGGGTTGTTGGGTCCATGTCAGGTGTTTCCTGTGTTCAGTCTTGTCTGTTATGATCACTGGCATATGTTCAACTTAGACACTGGACTGGTAAAAGTAAACTTAGTATGCAGTCTTACTTCTGTGCTTAAATTCTTAGATCTGTTTACTAGTTACTTTCCCATTTGGATTTTATATGTGTTCTGTTTTATTCATCATGGTCCGTTGTCTTTTGTTCTGGGTTTTGTCAGTCTGACTTGTCCATGTTATTTGCTTCTGTATTATGAGTGTTAGGTTCAGTGTCTATGTGAAGTTACATTTTTGTCTATTGTCTATTCAGCCTGTGTTTCTGTTTCCTGTTTTAGTCTGAAGTCTGCCTTTGCTGCAGGGGCGGCTTGTTCATTAGGGGCTGCCAAGCCGGGAAGTTTGTCTCTGAATATCGCTGTCCAATCAGCGTCAAGTCGTGTTCTGTGGAGTCCCGCCTCTTTTGGTGCGATTTCAGTCTGGTTGTAAATCGCCCAGATCTCTCTCATAGACTTTCATGTCAAGGCAGTTTTTTTCGAGCTGCGGCTGCTGCAGTGCAATCTCTATGGGTTCTGGGAGGGCTCGCACTTACGTGTTTATGTCATGCGCCCAGCAGCAGAGCTACGCTTCTGCCACCTGAAAACGACTCGGCAGTCCTCCAGCTTGTTGCTCTCACTACAACCAGCTGCTGTAGAAAAATTTACGTTCAGGCTGAAAATTCAACTGTGGTGTTGTGTCGGGAGAGGCAGTGACTTTACCAGCGGTGAGTAAGACACAGTATAAAAAATACATGTAATTTGTTAAGCTATGAGGAGAGGAAAACTCCGCTAGCCACTAGGCTAATTTATGCTGTGTAAAATGCCATAGGCAAAGCTAATAATCTTGATAGTTATTATTAAGCTCAACCTGTAATAATAATATAAAACAAGTATTGTTTTTTTTCTTTTATTGCCAGAAACCCAAGAAGAAAGAGGAGGTAGCATGATGTGGCCATCACTGGCATCTTGTCAGAGGAGGATAAAAAGAGAAAGCAGGAAAGCAACACAGAAAATAAACCAAAAATAATAGAATATACCTTTTTATATTTCCCCTTACATGCCTTGTTGTGTATGTGTAAATACAGAGGAAGAATGGGAGAACAGCACATAGCTCATTGTTACTGTGTGATTATACAGGGTACAGAGTACAGAGAGTACAGGAGAACAGTGGATACTTTTATACAGCCCACACCCCAAATAATACTGTGTATCTACAGGATAACAAATGGATTTTTACAAATCTCTGCTTACCTTATTAGTCTTGTGTAATGTGTGTAACTTAAAGAATGAAAATAAATACTAGTTTCATCTGTACCCTGTTAAACAACAAGGGACGGTGAAGAGTCGGCCTACAGAAGGGACAGGAGGTCTACAGGAGGTTGATCAGCTGGCTCTCTGGTGCGGTCAGAACAACCTGGAACTTAACACGCTCAAAACTGTGGAGATGATCGTGGACTTCAGGAGGAGGAGCCCCCCCACTCTGCCCCCCATCACCATACTCAACAGCCCTGTGTCTGCTGTGGAATCCTTCAGGTTTCTGGATTCAACTATATCCCAGGACCTGAAGTGGGAGCCCTATACTGACACGATCATCAAGAAGGCCCAGCAGAGGATGTACTTCCTGCGTCAGCTCAAGAAGCTCAACCTGCCTAAGGAGCTGCTGATCCAGTTCTACAAAGCCATCATTCAGTCTGTCCTCTGCACCTCCATCACTGTCTGGTTTGGATCTGCCACCAAAAAGGACAAGGACAGACTACAACATACAGTCAGGACTGCAGAAAAAATAATCGGTGCCAACCTGCCCTCCATTCAGGACTTATACATTTCCAGAGTCAGGAAACAGGCAGGAAACATCACTGCAGATCCATCTCACCCCGGACACAACCTGTTCCAGCTCCTCCCCTCTGGAAGGCGCTACAGAGCACTGTACGCCAAAACCAACACACACAGAAGCAGTTTCTTCCCACAAGCCATCACTCTGATGAACAGCTGATTTCTGACTCACAGTGTCAGGAACAATTCCTGTGCAATAACCCAGTAACTCTGCCTCTAATCAGCCACTTGATTACTGGTTACCACTTATTATTTATTTATTCACCATTCTTTATTTCAGTGCTGTTCATACTATGTCATATTGTATATACTGTATACCAATACACCTACCTCAGGTCATAAGGTCATAGGTCTTGTTTATTTTTTGCAGCATCCTTTGCACTATGCTCCATCACACTGTGTACATGTGTACATGTATGCATGTATATGTATATGCATGTGTATGTGTACCTGTATATCATATCCACTTTCATGTACATAATGAGAATAGTTTACTCTTGCATCCTTTACACTCTGATCACTGCACTATTTGTCAATATGTCTATATTGTTTTGTTCATAGTGTGTATATTAGTGTTGTCTATTCTGTAGTTTGTGTCTGATTTGATTTTATTATTATTTAATTATTGTGTTATGGTATTATTGTATAAGTAAGCACATCATGAGCAATGTACAATCCTGAGTCAAATTCCTCGTATGTGTACACATACCTGGCAATAAAACTGATTCTGATTCAGATTTAAGAATAGTTGTGTTTGATCCACCTTCATATCCAGTATATGTGACATTATTACATTACTGTAGCCTATTACTTGAGATCCCTTAGCTGCAATGCAAGATTAACTTTAAATTTTGTTCATTGCACATTATCAGCCCAGTGCCACTGCGCTTTATTCTGGATTTGTTGTTCCTAAATAAAAGGTTTGTTACAGCTAAATCAGATGATTGTGAGAGTTATTCTTTTATATCATTATTGCTAAAGTAGTTGCCTTTACATCCAAAGGTCTAAAGATCGGTTGATCTTAACTGTGGACTGTTCATTCATTGTAGACATTGACAATGAACTTCAGGACGTAGCTGTTCACAAATACTGTACAGTATGTAGCCTAAGGAACAATACTTGTCTTATAGCAGACTTAGACCATAGAACTTGTCATCTTAGCCATGATCGCAACCCCCCCTGAGAGATTTGGCAGGAGCGGCCACTGCTTTGCTGTCATTGTCTGGTTGTCATTCTGTTTCATTACCTTGACTCACACCTGTTTTGTGTTCCCACCCTGCTCGTTTGCCTGAGTATTTCAATGTCTGTGTTCTGTTCAGTCTTTGTTGGTTCATTGTTGCATGTAGCCTGTATTGCTCTGTTGCCTGTGTTTGTTCCAGCAGTACTTTCCCTTTGTTTTTTGGACCTGTGTTTCTTAGTTACTTTGGATTCTATTTGGACTCAGCCACAGTTTGTAAGTATGCTCTCCTTTTGTTAATAAATCAGTGCACTATATCTGCTCAGCTCTAGTGTCCTGCGTTTGGGTTCTCAGCCTGCTCCATCATTACAACACATGACAATTCATGACAGAAAGGGAATTTACAAAAGTTAAACTAGACAAAACAAAGTCCAGAGAAATACTGTTATTTTTAACGTTTGAGTGGCAGGTCATGATGATATGACACAATGGCACATGATGTATTTCTGAAAGGACTAAACACTTAAGATGTCAGATGTGTCATCAGAACTTTGTGTCTTTTTTTCAGGACATAAGGGTGGTGTGTCACCTAGAGTTTCTGAAGCCAGCCAATCCAGAGCGAGATGCTTCCTCAATAAGCGGTGTCACAATCTTCTCAATCATTTCCATCAACACAGTGAATGTTGGCTCCACGATGAAGTCAATGAATCCTGCAGGAAACAGTAATCATGCCAGATTAACATTCACCTTGTACCTTCTCACAGAACTTCAGGCTGCATCAGCAGTGTGAGATCCAAAACCATCTGAGACAGTAACCAGTGCTTTTCGTTTATCCCACAGAAAAGTCACATCATTCAGTTTTTCTCTTTTCATTTCAGGGATGTTAACAGTTGGGTACGGGTTAACAGGCTACATTAACCAAATAATTGTACACATTTATTCCACTGCCTTTTAAGATGTTTTATAATATTACTATATTACTTATTGGTTGGAGCCATACAGAACTTGAACCATTTTAAATGGTCGAACAATACACATACGTTACGGTATATTGATCATTTTTGAATAAAAGCTTCCCTTTTGGTACAGTCCGGTCCTGTTACAAATCCAGACATGCTCATTGTTGGTTCCAATGTTAAGATGTCATGAAGCCTGACAAAAGTGACCTCCAGGCAACTGTTCCCACTGACTCCCTCTACTACACAAACACCTTAGATCTCTTCAATGATTTGTTGTGCCATTGGACTCACCATAGGCAGATTAAAGCGAATTTAAATCTTTGACATCATTTCTCAAAGGTGATCAGGTTTGATCCCTGGATTGACCTCAAAGTCCTGATCAGGTTCTACCACTCTACCTCACCTTAGGTGACAGACTTGAGGCAAATCATCAGTTACACCAGTAAAATTGTCTACCCTAGAAACATGAACTTCATCAGAGACTAAATGCATCAATTTGTCACATTTAAAGCAGGTTTAGGTTGCATGCTTGTCATAGTCACATCTCTGAATCCACAAAAAGGAACAAAATGCAGGATAACAATTCCCAAGAGAGTAAAATAATAAATAAAGTTGAGATAACAGACTCTATGCATGACTATTAAAATGACAATATTAACATTACACAGAGACTAACCTCAACCTGAACCAGGCTATTAGGACCTCCGCAGCCCTAAAATAAACAACCTCTAAATGGCAAGACCAAAAGGGCAGGGTAAACATTGTAACGAAGTTCCTCTTTCAAATTACTTCAAAACATCAAAGATCTCCTCTTCAGTCTTGACTCTCTACCCCACCAAAGAGCCTTTAATTTGGACTCTTAACATGCCCTCTCACTTTCACAGCTAGGTGTGAGGAACTCCAGACACCAGAGAAGGACACTGCCCCAAATTCCTTTGTGTGGACAAATGAATACTGTCTCCTTATAACTTGCCTATTACCTTGTTTAATTAAATAATCTTTGTTAAGTTACTTAGCAGGCCTCGCCACTCCATTTGAGTAGTTATATTACCATGTTGTTGTTGAAAAGAAGAATCCATAAAGAAAGTTCATATGCAGTGTTTTAATCTTCCTCAATGCTCACTGATATTCCTTTAATTTATGTTGTACTAATGCCATGCTTCAACACCGTTTAAATAGTTTCTTTTTAAAGAACATGATACAGAAATATTATCCTGTGCTACTTAATTAATTTTCCAGCTCAAATTTAATGTTAAATTAAAGCTGCAAGCAGCGTTGGGCGGGCCCTCGCACTTTTAAGCGTGTCCGCGCGTGAGCCGGCCGAGTTGCATATTCTGGAGCTCTGCCGGTGCGGCTGTGAATTTGCTACGCGGTTATGACGCCGCATGAAGGTGTTATATGTCACTTCCTGTGTCCCCTATGTGGAGCTACATAGCACTTGCCGCTATGAATATAAATCGGTATTGGTGTGTAGATGTCTGCGGGGTGGGACAGTTATCAAGCACGTAAAGTTTGTTTCAGATGTGAACATGTACACTGAACAATAATGTACCCAAACTATAAAATAAATTCCTTTTATATTTCCCTGCCTTGTTGTTTATGTGTACATACAGAGGGAGAATGTGAGAACAGCACACATTTCATCGTTACTGTGTGTTAGAGCATGGGAGAACAGTGGATACTTTTAATACAGCCCACACCCCTAATACTGTGTAACTATAACAAGTAGAGAACAGAAGAAAAAGATGTTCTTTCTTTACAACTGTCTGCATAGCTTATTCATATTGTGTAATGAATGAAAATAAATAGGCCTACTAGGATCCTCTCTACTTTGACATTTAAGATTAGCTTGTTTGATCCACCTTCATACATATGTGACATTACTGTACAACTTGAGAAAGGTGAGTTGTTTTCTGCTCCAGCCTGCCTAAAAGAAAAGCGTTTTTGGGATTAAATGGACTTTATTAGCTGCTGCAGTGCAGGATGAACTCAGAATAGACCCATTTCTCACCTTATTATTCTAAATCATGCAACGAAGAAGAAGAAATGCATAATAAATCCTGGGACAAAATCTGTAGTCAAATACTGTACAGCATGTAGTCTGATGAACAAGACTTGTGTTATAGCTGACTTGGGCAGTGAAATGTTTTTTTAATTCATGTGGTCATAGTTGTCCACAACTCAAATCAGAATATAAGAAGAAATGTTTTATACCACCTCAAGAAGGCTTCCTATCAGAAAGGTAGGAAGGTATTTCAAATGTACAACTGCAGTACTTAAATCTAAGTAAAGTAATTTCCCTGACATTTTTGTGTTACTTTACTTTTAATAGACGCATGTAACAGGTTTTATACTTCCTGTGAGTATAATCCAATCAATCTTATTTTCATACTGTATATCCGTTGTGTAATTTGATAAATTGTGTTGTATGTCGTGCTCGCATCTCAGAGAAGACTCTGACTGCAACATGCGTCTTTGTAAAGAGAGAAACGGACAGAAAAAGTCTCTAACTCTGCCTGTCAGCTCGCTCTGCTCCGTTAAAACTGAATTTACCATACAGAATTGAATACGAGTGCACTCCAGATTTAGCTGCAGCCAGCTGACCGTGTGCTTCTCCCTATACCGCAGTTCTGTGTCCATGCATGCAGCAAACTGAAAGCACTGTCTGTCGGAGCGTCTACGTGAAAAGACAAGGAAGACATTGCTGGTAGTATTGTCTTCAGAGTTGTTAAACACCTCAGCGCACTGAAGGAAGCCATCTGACTGTGTGAGGGGCAAGATCGTTGATGTCTGCAGGCAGAGTAGGAGCTCTCCTGTCTGACTGGTCCACCAATAGCAGAGAAGATGACCCCTTGAGACACAGCCCCTCCTCATTTGCATAATGAGGCAGAAATGCATAAAAAAATTTAAAAAAGACAGGCAGAAATAAATACCATGGGTGAAAATAAATAAGGTAAATAAATACAAAGGAAGAATAAAACAGACAAAATATTAAAACACACACATAAATAAATACATTAAAAAATTAGTAATAAATAAAGTTGAATAAACAAATAAGGTAATTATAACAAAGGTGAATAAGTAAAGGCACTAATTAAAATATAAACATTTATGTCTCCTTGTATAATTTAATTACTACCTACATTTATTTATTTACTTTATTTTTTTGTGTATTTAATTGGATGCTTATTTATTTATTGAGCATTTATTTATTTCTGTATTTATTTCTGGCTGTGTCAGGATCGGTCCTCCATAACGGGGTGGGAGAGTTATCAAGCACGTAAAGTTTGGTTAAGATGTGAGCATGTACACTGAAGTTACAACAACTTCCTGTGTCATGGCGAAGACTTGATCTCTGACGCCACGCGACGGACACACCCATTGACGAAAACTTGCAAATAGCACAACTTTTCATCTTCAATGCCTTTAGAAGGCACAGCAGAAATTTGAGGTCGGTCGGACTAAATCCCTAGGAGGAGTTTGTTAAAGTACGAAGTGTGTAAATCATCCAAAATTTGACGTAAAATTCAAAATGGCCGACTTCCTGTTGATTTTAGGGCATCACTCCAAGAGGCTTTTTTGTGCGTCTGGACAAGATACACGTACCACAGAAAATTCGTGCACGTAGGTGAAACGTGCGGCGGGGGCTGCTTTGTTAAAAGTCACTTCCTTTTGCCAGCAGGTGGCGCTATGACTGTGGGTGAATGTCAGCATGTACACGTGTTCAGGGCGGGACTCTCATCCTACATGTACAGTTTGGTGAAGATGTGAGCATGTACACTGAAGTTACGACAACTTCCGTGTCATGGCGAAGAGCTGATCTTTGACGCCACGCAACGGACACGCCCATTGACGAAAACTTGCAAATAGCACAACTTTTCATCTTCAATGCCTTTAGAAGGCACAGCAGAAATTTGAGGTCGGTCGGACTAAATCCCTAGGAGGAGTTCGTTAAAGTACGAAGTGTGTAAATCATCCAAAATTTGACGTAAAATTCAAAATGGCCGACTTCCTGTTGGGTTTAGGCTATGGCTCCAAGAGACTTTTTTGTGCGTCTGGACAAGATACACGTACCACAGAAAATTCGTGCACGTAGGTGAAACGTGCGGCGGGGGCTGCTTCGTTAAAAGTCACTTTCTGTTGCCAGCAGGTGGCGCTATGACTGTGGGTGAATGTCAGCATGTACATGTGTTCAGGGCGGGACTCTCATCCTACATGTACAGTTTGGTCCAGATGTGAGCATGTACACTGGAGTTACAACAACTTCCTGTTTCATAGCGAATCATCGACGCCACGGACACGCCCATTGACGAAAACTCGCAAATAGCACAACTTTTCATCGTCAATGCCTTTAGAAGGCACAGCAGAAATTTGACATCGATCCGACTAAATCCCTAGGAGGAGTTCGTTAAAGTACGAAGTGTGTAAATCATCCAAAAATGGCCGTAAAATTCAAAATGGCCGACTTCCTGTTGACTTTAGGCTATGGGTTCTTGAGGCTTTTTTGTGCGTCTTGATACGATACATGTCCCCAGAAAATTTCGTACATGTAGGTTGAACGTGAACGAGGGGCTAATCTTTTCCAATTTTCTAGGTGGCGCTAGCGAGTCATTTTGCCACGCCCATGTGCGAAACTTGTAGAATACGAAATTTTTCACCGGTTCTGACATGTTTGCAAATTTTGGTGAGTTTTCGAGTATGTTTAGGCCATGTCATTTGGGCCTACTTTGCAGAAAAAAAAAAATAAAAAA